GGAGGTATGACGTGGCATGGCATGGCGACGGCATAAAGACATCACAAGGGGATGTGGCATGCATGACACGTTACGCTATGGCAGGGCATGGACTGGTTGCAAACGTATGGTATAACATGACGGTACTACTGGTGCATGGGGTATGTGACATGGTATGGCACGGTTTGGTCTGAAGAAACAGTCATGGGCGTGAGGAGTAGGGGGACAACGGGCACGTACCAGCAGAGGGACGTCTTGAGGGCGTTTTGGAGAGTGTACTCCTGCTCGTTGCCAGGGGGGATAGGAAAGGCCATGGGATGGGAAGGGCAACAGGAATAGCACACATAGGCAAAGCAAGACTCTGAGCATGGGGGCATGGGGGCATGGGGCATAAGCATGAAGCATGAGAGTAACCCAAGAGCAAGGGGCATGTCCATCCCTTGCAGTGCATCCCATCCCATCCCATCCCATCCCATCCCATCCCATGCCATGCCATCCCATGCCATCCCAACCCATCCCACCCCACCCCACCCCATGGCATGCACGCACCACATAGGAGGCCACAAGCGGAATGCTGCCGGCGTCGAGGGCGCCCATGACCTTGATGGCGCACGACACCTGGGGGGGGCGCACGAAGCTCAGCGTCACGCGGTCCACAAAGGGCAGCGAGCGCCGGAACCGCAGCCCCACCCGCATCTGCAGGGCGGGCGATGGGGAGGGCGGGAGGGGGAGGAGTGGGGATGGGGAGGGAAAGGGGCATTTACAACGCCTCTACAGCATTCCCAGAGTCTCATGAAGCTTAGCATGAACCGGTCCACAAAAGGCAGCGAGTAGCGGAGGCGCAGTCCACTCGCATCTGCAGGGATGGGGATGGGGATGGGGAGGGCGCAGAAGGCAGGCAGAGAGAGGGCGTTCACGACGCTTCTACAGCATCCGTCACCACATCCACAAAGGCGAGCGAGCAGCGGGAAGCGCAGCCCACACGCATCTGCAGGGAGAGGCGTGGAAAGGAGCGGGGGTTGAGAGAGGAGATGCGTGTCCAGGACTCGTATTCAGCACAGCACATCGTCACCTAACCCTCCTTCCTTTTCATACTGCGCAACTGTGCCAGTGAAGTGCGGCTCTGTGATGTGATGCAGGCAGTCCATGAAATGGTACCGTGCTTTCACCCCTCAACTATAATATGTCTATTCCCACAATGCCATGCCTAGCCGCTCTCGCACCGTGCCGGTGAGCTGCAGCCCGGTGATGTAGGCGGTCCAGGGGATGCTGCCCATGCCCGCCACATAAGCAGTCGCCTGCACGCTCAAGTTGTCCGCCCCCACCAATTCCACACTCGCCTCCAGCTCCTGGTGAGATGGATAAGGGGCAGGGGGGGGTGGCAAGGGGAGATTGGAATGCGGTCAACAGGAGCGGGATGCTTGTCATGCCCGCCACATACGCGGCTGCTCGCACACTCATGTTGTCTCAACACTCGCCTCCAGCTCCTGGTCATGGAGAGGGTGAGGTGAGATTGAAGGGGCGAGGCAACGAGGGGGGTCGGTGCTGGCAGCACAGTTTTGTTGTTGGCACACGCCGCCGCCTCCTCCACACTCGCCTCCAGCTTCTGGTGAGGGGCAGGGGTGAGGTGCGGAGAGATGAAGGGGAAGGGGCGAGGCGAGGAGAGTGTGGAATGGTGGTGCATGCATGCAGCACTGCACACTGCAGCTCCCGGCAAGGGAGATGAGGCAAACGGGTGTGATGAAAGGAAGACGTGCGGCGATAGAGAGGGGGGTAAAGGGCAAGTAGTGTGGCATGACATGGTGTCGCCTGCTCCTAGAGAAGAGGGTGATGGGCAGGGATGGGCAAGGAGGGAGAGAGAAAGCAGGAGGTAGGAAGCACATACTCAGCACATGCTGCCACCAGCACTCACCCACCCACTCACTCACCCACTCTCTCTCCCTCACTCACGCACCACATGGTTGCGCCCGCCTCCCTCCCGGAACGCTTTGATGGATGTGATGACGGGCGCTGTGTCACCGAAGTTGGCCTTCACCACCTCCACCTTCGCCTGTCATGGGCGGGGGTGACGCATGCACGCATCAGGCACACAAGTGGCATGTGGCAGGCACAGGCATTTCCATCCCGTATGCCTAAGGAATTCGGACGGGAAGGACAGACAGTGAGTCACTGACAGGCACTGACAGTTGCTGTACGTCCGACAGTAACAGACCGACATGGAGGGATGGAGCAGCATGGGAGAGCATCCGGCATCGGGTGGGAAGGTAGAGGCGGATGGACGTACGAGCATGGGAGGCTTGTATCGGGAGAGGAACCAGGGAGCGACTTTGGGCATGAGCTTGGTGGAGACGAGGTCGTTGAGGAAGAGAGGCCACGCCTTGGACAGCAGTACCGACGCCCAGAAGGCTGTCTCTGCCTCGGGCATGGCCTGCAATGTAACAAGGAAGGGGGGAAGGGAGGAGTGGGGGGTGTGAGAGGCGTTGAGGAAGAGCGGCCATGCCTTGGAGAGAAGCACCGACGCCCAGAAGGCCGTTTCCGCCTCGGGCATGGCCTGTGTTGTGTGTAGCAAGCAGAGGAACGGGGAGCGGGGAGTAGAGTGGGAGTGAGAAAGTGGTGGTTGAGGAAGGGGGGCCAGGCCTTGCCCAGCAGCAGTGGGCATGTTTTTCATGCTTCTACGTCTAACAACTGAAAGGCTTGTTTCAAAGCTCATCACCACAGACACAGTACACGAAAAACGCCTGTAAGTGCTATTGAGCTCTGCTGCAGGTGTCTCACCCGCGACATGAGCTGCTCGATGCGCACGGCTGCTCTGACTGCCACTTTCAGGCGCTCGTAATGGTGCGTCCACAGCTGCATGCACGGGTGGAGGGAAGGGAGGAGGGGGCAGGAACGGCAAGGGCGGTTGGGGTGGAAACGGAGGGGATGGTCACTTTCCGAAGCTTGTGGTGACGCGGCCGCGCCAGCATCAGTGAGAGAAAAAAAAAGGGTGACGGAAAAGAATTTTCTAAATTCTAAAAAATATCTAGCAGCAGCAGCGGCGTACCAGCCAGAAGTAGAGCACAGCCCAGGGCAGCAGCAGCAGGGAGAGAAGGAAGCCTGTCTGGCAGAGGAGGAACGTGAGACCCACGCCGATGCACACATGTGCCAGCATCGGCCACTTCACCACCTCCCCCACCGCCTGCCGCCCATGCGCCGCCCACAGCTGCCGCCCGGCCTGCGCCGCCCCCTGTGCTGCTGGTCCCATGCTGAAACAAGGAGTCGGGAAGGTACGAATGTAGGAGCAGGGAGTGAAACAGGAGGAGCGTATTCGCCTGAACAACCAGCTGTATTCTTCTCTACACTTGTACCGTCCTTGCCTTCCATGGGGAAGCATACAGCCGTTACTTCAAAATCACGGGGGGCATACAGCGTACGCTACCCCACTCCCTCCTCCGCTCCCTCTTCCCCCCCCTCCCTCCCCCGCTTCCTCTCCCGCTCCCGCCCCCGTTCCCACCCCCGCTCCCTCCCCCGCTCCCTCTCTCCCCCCCTCCCTCCCCCCTTGACTCACTTGTGAATCGCATGGTCGATAGCAGCCACTGCGCGCGCTCCTATTCCCTGCCGTCTCAGCCAATCAGAAGCCACGGCGAGAGCTGTCTCTATGGGGTTCTCAGCTGGTGGCGAAGTGGACGGCGAAGACGCATCGGACGGTTGAGATTCGGATGGTCGGGATCCGATGGCCGGCAGTGGAGAAGTCCCGGCCTCACGCTTATCACCGCCATCGCCATCAGCAGCCCGCGAACTGCCTTGGTGAATTCCTTCGCTGGCTCGCCTGTTTCTAAGGAGGGAAGAGCAAAGGCAACCCTCTTAGACGTGCCTGCTTGCCGCGCATGTAGGCTCCCCTCCTTACTCCCCGTCTCGTCTGCCCCGCTGCTTCCAGCCTGGACAGATTCGTTAGTGCGAGACTCGTTACTAGCCTTTCTAGAAATGCTCCCTGTCGCACTACTGGCGTCGGGCGAAGGGTCTGGAGCAGCAGCGGTGGCGCTGGGAGTTGCAGCAGCGTCGCTGAAAATATCAGGGCGGACAATAGGAACTGTGATTATGGCAGGTGACACATTGGCTGCGGTACGTGCACTTTCCAGAGGAACATCCGTTTTCTGCACATCTGCCTTCTTCGCACTCGCCGCCGCACCCGCTGCTGGCACATCCCGGTTCGACGCGGACGAAGCAGCGGACCCTGACGACGACGGCGGTAACCGCACGCTGCGCGGATGCGAGGGAGTTGGGAAGAACGGAAGGAGGGAGTTGGGTTAAACGTGCACTCCGACTTGCGCAGTGTTGGCGTGTTGAGTTAGCTTATAAGCGCGGAGATAAACACGGAGGACTTCGCTCTTCCAGCCTAAGGTCCACTAGATAGGCCCTCCTGAACTATGGATTGGCATTAACTGGTGCTTCGGCATAACATCAATCAGAAACTATTCGTGAGGTAAAGCTGGGGCATCTTAAAGATTTCCATGAAGAGATTGACATCGTCAATGTAAAATGCTGTCCTGGTATACCTTTTCTGGGACGGAGACGCGAGTTTCTGCTTTAAAGTGTTGTATTCCTCGTCATCTCCACCGAATCCTGGTAGGCCTAAGCTTCCGTTGCGAAACATGGCGGCTCGCAGCTAATACTTCCTACATCGACGGCTTCAAGGCTTCCAACCTGCACTCGTTGGTAACGCGCTCAGCACGGCGCGCGAAGGACCGAAATGAAAGGTTGCGGAAAAGGATACGGAATAGGAAAAGGATTCGGAAGGGAATCTATTGTGGAGTGAAATGTGTTTCTACTAGCTGTAGTGGACAGTCACATGACCTACAATAGTGTGCAGTGTGGAAATGTCTTCTTTTCGCTTGTGGAGTGTGGTGGAACCTCTGTGGTGCTCTTGGGCATGGGTGTTCCGTCTGTGATTCCAAAGTGGAGCTTGCACGTTTCTGCGTGTGCTTTCGTGCCGCATCGACGACCTTATCAAACCACGGAAAATCTCATCCGTCGAATTTCCTCGATTCTCACGACATATTCTGCATGGCGAGTTGTAGCCTTCCATCTCCTATAACAGCTTGCGATCATATAAATCCAGGGCATGCAGATAATCACATAGCATCTCCAATCACATAGCGTCTCCAATAACAGATTGCGATCATATTAATCCAGGGCATGCATATAATCACATCACATAGCATCTCCAATCACGTAGCATCTCCAATTCACAGATGTTAGCTAGGTTCGCCACCAAAGTAGCAAACAGTACAGCAGCCAAATAAAGTACGTGTTATTCAAATTATGGCATGGTTTGTGTTACGAATAGTAGTTAATGAAAACATTGTTGCGCACGGTCCTCACCGTAGTAAAGCCGAAGCACGCATTATCGAGAGTGAAGACGAAAAGCCAGAAGAAAGGCGAAGGACAGACGGCTACGAGGAGCATCTGGATCGTCGGGCAGACAGATCAGGCAGCAGCAGTGGCGAGGATTCTGCCCGAAACAGTTACGTAACCACTCGGAGTCGCACGGTTGGATTTCGCTACAATAAGGGAATGTACCTCTTAGAGTACATGGCTAGTTAGGTCGTTTCGAATTCCACTGTACTCATATTTATAATTCCTTGTACTGCATGTGTTTATTATCTCAAAGCATTTTACATTCACTCTGCCTATTGAGGTCAAGGGCCCACCAAACATCACTTCTCTGCGTGCGAACCTTCCTGAGTAGATCCTAGGCCACGATCAACTTCTGATCGCAGCATGGTATCGAGAGCGACTCAGGAATCCTTCGCACCGCCATCTCCGAAATCTGCGACATTCGGAATGTGGCGTCCGGCACACGATCACGCGTAAGAATGGCCGGAGGATCTGGAGGTCAGACGAATCTGACGGTTGAAGCGCAGCCCAACCTGTCAAATCATAATGTTCTGTAGGCTGTAGTGGGGTAGCCTATATGGGGTACCCATTTCTAGGGTTGCATATTTGTACCACATTCCATTCCTTAGTGCACTCATTCTCGTTTCGATTCTCACATGGTATCGAGCAGGTTCCCTCGTGGGAACTGTGCCTAGGGCCCACCAAGTCGAAAGTTTTTTTTTTTCCTGCCCGGAGCGCGCTCTGCCCGAGTCGCGCTCCCTTCTCTGACTTCGTCGAGCCGCCCTAGCGGCCAAGTCGCGCCGCCTTAGCGGCCCCTGATTCGTCTCCCTACCTTCGCCTCGGCCCCGTCGCCCTAACTGCGCCCCGGCCCCGTCGCCCTACCTGCGCCCCGGCCCCGTCGCCCTACCTGCGACCCCGGCCCCGTCGCCCCCCCCCCCCCTTGCGACCCTGGCCCCGTCGCCATACCTGCGGCCCCGGCCCTAGCCCCGTCGCCCTACCTGCGCCCCGGCCCCGGCCCCGTCGCCCTACCTGCGCACCGGGCCCCGTCGCCCTACAGCCGACCCGGGCCCCGTCGCCCTACCTACGGCCCGGCCCCGGCCCCGTCGCCCTGCCTACGGCCCGGCCCCGTCGCCCTACCTTCGACCCGGCCCCGTCGCCCTACCTACGGCCCGGCCCCGGCCCCGTCACCCTACCTTCGACCCGGCCCCGTCACCCTACCTGCGCCCCGGCCCCGGCCCCGGTCGCCCTACATGCGCACCAGCCCCGTCGCCCTACCTTCGGACCCGGGCCCCATCGCCCTACCTACGGCCCCGCCCGAACCGCCTACGCAGCCAAGCCGCCCGCGCCGCTCAGCAGCCCGAGCCCGCCCGTTCCGCCCGAGCCGCCCAAGCCGCCCGAGCCGCCCGAGCCGCCCGAGCCGCCTAAGCAGCTGAGGAGCCGAGCCGTGGGTGCCGCCGAGCCGCAGTTGCTGCCGAGCCGCCCGAGCTGCCCGAACCGCCCTGTCTGGTGAGCGCAACGCCTCTGTCACTGCACTGCCCCTGCTCTACAGCCAGCGCTGCTAGTCTACTGTTGTCATGGCTACCCCTAGTGTCCTCGCTTTTGACGCCGAGGGTCGAGCCATTGACTTTGACGTCTGGGTAGATGACCTGCAGCTGTTCTTACAGTGCGATAGGGCAGACGGTCTCTCCCTCTTTGACCTCACCTCTGGTGCCTCTCATGCTCCTGCTGCTAATGCTGACGCCACTGTTCGCTCACAGTGGGCCACGCGCGATGCTGCTGCACGTCTTGCTGTGCGTCGCCACCTCCCTACCTCTGAGCGTGCGCACTTTAGTCAGTACAAGAGTGCTCAGACCTTGTACGACGCTGTAGTTGCACGCTACTCCTCCCCCTGCCACTGCTGCACTGAGCCGTCTCATGCTACCGTACCTCTTCCCTGACCTTGCTGCCTTTCCCAGAGTCGCTGACCTCATTACGCACCTCCGCACTAGTGACACTCGCTACCGCGCTGCGCTTCCTGCTGACTTCTGCGCCAAGAACCCCCCCCCCCATGTACATCACTCTCTACTACATAGTCACTCGCCTCCCTGACTCCCTTCGCATAGTCAGAGACCACTTCCTCTCAGTCTGTCCCACCACTCTCAATGTTGACCTCCTCGAGAAGTCCCTCCTAGCGGCGGAGAAGAGCATAGTCGCTGTAGGGGCCTCTCGTGGTGACCCTCGCACCCCCATCTTTGAGGGTGTTCCCCCTCCCCCCTTCTACCCTCTATTGCCTCTGCTGCTGCGGCCGACCTCCTTGGTCTTGAGTCGGTCGGTGCGGCGTCTGCCCCTAGCGGGAGACGCCGCTCTGGCAGGGGCAAGGGGGGCAGGGGCACTGGAGGAGCGAGTGGGGGCGGTGGAGGTGGAGGTGGAGGCGACGGGGGGAGTGGGGGTGGCGGTGGGAGTGGAGGTGGGGGTGGAGGTGTCGGTGGCGGCAGTGGAGGCGGAGGCGGCGGCGGCGGTGGCAATGGGAGCGGAGGTGGCGGAGGTGGTGGCGGTGGAGGAGGCGGCGGAGGCGGCGGGTAGTAGCGGAGGCGGCGGAGGCGGCGGGGGTGGCGGTGGAGCTGGTCGCGGGTCTACGCAGAGGAGTGGCTCCGGTGGTGGTCCGCGCCAGCAGCAGGAGCGCGGTCATGAGACCTTGTCCCCTCCAGCAGCTCCATGAGTGGTACACTACACGCCAGCGGGGTGGGGCTTTGGTCCGTGCACCTACGTCCTACGCACCGGCGACCGTGCGGTGTGAGCAGTGTGGGGGTGCGCACCCCACCCAGCGCTGCTTTGGCCGCCTGAAGGACGCGTGGCGTCACCAGTTCCCGGAGGCCACAGAGATCCCTCGCTGGGGCGAGCTCTCTAGGGCGGGAGTTGCCATATATGATCTTGATTTTGATGCTATCCTTTCTGCCATGTATGCTGTGTCTATTAGTGATGAGGGTGACTGTTACCGTTGTTTCTCGCCCGACCCGGGGCATTGAGACTGCTGCTCTAGGTACTGGTGAGGCTGCTGCTCTAGGTGCCAGTGAGGCTGCTGCTCTAGGTGCCAGTGCGTCTGCGTCCTCAGGTGCTGGTGAGTCTGCGCTCGCAGGTACCGCGTCGGCTTCGGCCTCCCTCACCTTCACACTTGACTCAGGGGCTTCTCGCTCCTTCTTTCGAGACCGCACCACACTCACGCCGCTTGGTCGGCCGGTTGCAGTCTCCCTGGCAGACCCCTCTGGGGGTCCTGTCCTTTCTCACTTCTCCACTGTCCTCCCGTGTCCGGAGGCCCCCTGTGGCACCTTGTCTGGTCTTTACCTCCCCTCGTTCTCTACGAACTTGGTGAGTGGTGCTGACCTACAGGATGCGGGGGTTCACCTGTTTACTCCTGCGACTCAGCGAGTGACTCACTGCTCGGACGCTCGCACAGGCCGGCACCTGGCCACGTTTACGCGTCGGCCGGGGTCGAGCCTGTACACCCTGACCACTGAGTCTCCTCCTGTCCCTGCGTCTGGTCAGGTAGCTGCGTCGGGTTAGGTGTTTGCTGCAGCGTCCCAGGTCTGGTCCTGAGTCTGCCCCCTGCTCGTGTTGCCTCCTATCTCACGAGACTCTCCTCTGGCACCACCGCCTTGGTCACCCCTCCCTACCTTGTCTCCGAGGCATGGCCTCCCGTGTCCTTGTCTCTGGTCTTCCACGGTCCCTCCCTCCCCTTCCTCTGGGGCCTGGCCCCACCTGCGTCCCCTGTGTCGAGGGGCGGCTGCGGGCTGCCCCTCACTCCTCTCAGTTTCCCCCGACAGAGGCCCCGCTGCAGACGCTTCACATGGACGTGTGGGGCCCGGCCCGCGTCCGTGGACAGGGTCACGAGCGCTACTTCCTGCTGGTGGTTGACGACTACTCGCGTTACACCACAGTCTTCCCCTTGCGCAGCAAGGGTGATTTCACTGAGGTGTTGATCGACTGGATCCGCGCAGCTCGTCTCCAGCTCCGGAGGAGCTTCGGCTCGAACTTTCCTGTTCTGCGTCTGCACTCTGACCGAGGCGGAGAGTTCTCCTCTGGCCTTCTGCGAGCCTACTGTCCTGCGCGAGGCATCCGCCAGACCTTTACGCTTCCGGACTCTCCACAGCAAAATGGGATTGCTGAGCGCCGCATTGGCATGGTCATGGACGTCGCCCGTACGTCCATGATGCATGCGGCTGCCCCCCATTTTCTGTGGCCGTTTGCGGTTCGGTACCCGGCGCATCAGATCAACCTTCA